GACGAGTCACAAACAGGACGAAACGCGCGTCCTAGATTCCACTACTAGCCACTATCCATCTTTGCTTATAATGCTTGTAAATTAAGGCAATATCGAGGCATACGCACAGTATGCACATATGCCAACAAGAGACTGATCAATTTCAGAACTAAAACATCAATGGGAAGATTCAAGTAAAACAATATCAAGTGATTTATGTCAATCTATGCCTAGAATGTATAACGATGACCTTGAGACTAGTCATCATTGATACATTGAAACAAGTAATTGTATCTAATACATACTTTGGTATTGTTTTTTGCGTTTTTTTGAAAAGGATGAAAGTATCTGGGTATTATTTCTTTAAAAAGTGAAATCGACTGGTAAACTTCTATATTTTTCTGAGTTCCTTTATTTTTTTTGTGGGAGGGAATATAGGAAATAAAGACTTGACATTATTATCTCATTATTTAACATCATTTCGGATGCAAACGTAAAAGGCGAGGATTGGCAAAACAAGGACTGCATTTCTACAATTGATGAACATATGCAACTCAAAACAACTTTCAATCAATATTAAAGTCATAATCTTCAATACGAACGTCAAGAAAGTTCTACTGTACAGAGCTGAAACTTGAAGAACTACCACAACCATCATCAAAAAGATACAAGTACAAGTGGAGGACCGAAGAACATATTGCTTTGAAAATTGAAGGCAGATCTGAAAAGAATGAATAGAACATGGAAACAACTGAATAGAAGAACATATGATAGAGCTAGTTGAAGAATTCTGGTCAGAGGTTTGTGCTGTACCTTATGGGGTGACAGAGGTCAGTAAGTGAAATGATAGAAAGAAAAGTCCATTTTCGATTGAATTACTCATTATGAGTTTTATTCAACATTCAACATCCGTTTTGATTCAACGTGAGGATCATTCAGTGCAGTATTTGATTTGTTTTCCCAGTATAATATTTTCTTCTGTATAATATACGATATTCTTGTATTCAGTTGACAAGAACTATGCTCAGTAAGTGATTTGTTATAACTGAGTATGTGATTTAATCCTAATTATTAATCAAAAATGGGTGTAAAATCAATATATAAACCAGTGTATTTTAGACTATTATTATTCATTCATTATTATCATCATCATCGTCGTCGTCATAGTGTTTTGGGGCTAATAAACCTTTACTTATACCAGTCTTTGTGTTCTTACTTTCGCGTTGTGGGAATTGCAGAGGTCCCTCATTCCGAGTATAAGTGATCAGCGTTTTTCCGGCACAACAATCAGCGAAGACCAAATATAACAGTAAGTAAGTAAGTAAGTAAGTAAGTAAGTAAGTAAGTAAGTAAGTAAGTAAGTAAGTAAGTAAGTAAGTAAGTAAGTAAGTAAGTAAGTAAGTAAGTAAGTAAGTAAGTAAGTAAGTAAGTAAGTAAGTAAGTAAGTAAGTAAGTAAGTAAGTGAGTAAGTAAGTAAGTAAGTAAGTAAGTAAGTAAGTAAGTAAGTAAGTAAGTAAGTAAGTAAGTAAGTAATCCACTTGATTTATTCCATTCCAAATGAATTCAAAGTAAACGCCTAAAATCTTGCTTCATATTTTTAACTATTGTATAATTCATGTATATATATCAGTCATCATCAAGCTAGATCATAACAGAGATTTACATTACCCTATGTCACTATAATCTAACCACATATGTGGATTAATTAAACAAGATGTGTAGTAGGAAAAAAGAGAAACATTGGACTAATGAAAATAGTAATAACAATAAATAGACCAGATAATGAGATTAAGCTTCAAAAACACCAAAATAAGAATATCTATCTACTTATATCAGTAAACATCATATCAAGTTTATTCAAAAAAGAAAAACTATAAATAAAAAAACGAGAAAATGATCGATGAAAACATCCTGAGTTTTCTTCTTTTTTTTTCTTTTCATTTTCGTCAAACATTATAAAATCAATAACAGCTTAGTACTTCTCTTTTTTTCTTTTTTTTTTCAACATTAAAAAAATATTATTGATTAAATCAACAAAATAATTAAAAAAAATTATTCATCTCATTGAATACAACATATTCATTGAAGGATCTGTATAGATTTCTATAATCTCAAGTCGATTTTTCCTAGATGATATGTATATATATATCATTCAGCTTAGAGAATAAAATTTTATCAAAAATCATCTATCTGACCGACAAATCTTTGTCACCATCTCTATGTATAAATATATCTAAATAGTTGAGATTATGAGTCAATTGAAGCTAGATCACTATAGAAAACCTGGAAGCATTGGATGAATGTTTAGTCTTAGTATGGGATTCCTCCTTGGCAGTGGGCATCCACAACCCCACCTCGAGGGATTCGAATCCAGAGCCTATCGGTCACGCGCGCGAACCCTTAACCATTAAACCACTGAGCCGGCCGGCATCTAACAGTGTTAATGTCTAACTAGAAATAACCAACGAAATTGAGCGACACATCCACTATTGTCATTAGTGAGTTACTATCTCACAAATGACCCGGTTGAACTCCACTGGTCACTAATTCTCACCAGAACTCCAGGAAATACTTCTTGAAGCCAGTCCCTAGTAGGCATATGTTGATTAATATCAGGAGGGGTTTTTGTGGATATTATAATAATTTATTAGTTGAGTTCATGAATCAATTGAATCTAGACCACTATGGAAAACCTGGAAGCATTGAACGGCCATTTCGTCCGAGTATGCCGGCTCAGCGTTTTAGAGGTTAAGCGTTCGCACGCGAGACGGAGATGTCTCGGGGTGGAATCTCGTGACGTAAGTTCGTGGATGCACATTGCTGAGTAGTCCCATGCTAGGACGAAACTTCCGTAGATTAAAACAACCAATTCTGAAGATCACCTTAAAGTTTATAGTTTTGTATGATTTACCTGGTAAAACACATTTTTGCGAATGATCTGTATCCTACTTAATAAAATAATAAAATTCCAAACTACACATTTAGATTTATTATCAGAAGAGGATTTGTGGAGATTGCAATGTTTATAATAATTGAATTCAGGAGTCCATTAAAACCAGACCACCATGGAATACTTGGAAGCACTGGACGGATGTTTCATCCTAGTATATGACTCCTCAGTAGTTCGCATCCACCATCCCACACGCAGGATTCCAATTCAGAAGCCTTCAGTATCGCACGCGAACGCTTAACGTCTAGATCACTGATACTTATTGATGTTTCTTGTTATTTAACGCTTTACATGAATGTTAGATTTATGAATAATTAGAATGACAATTATGAACAGTGACTTATTTACAATTATTGATAAACTATTGTCAGCTGTACGAATACTGTAATGGATTTTTTAAGTTTGTTTTAACTTATTGTTCATGTAAACTCCATGCACATGTGCGATTTCATAGAAAGCCTTAAAGATATTTGCTATACTATTTAATTCATTAATCATCTAGGTAACTGTATAGTTAAATATAAATATGGTAGATGAACGAGATAATTGGATTCACGAACGTTACTTTTTGAACGATTGAGCAAAATTTGTCTATCATATATAACGAACAGTTGAACAAATGTTTGTATAATGCTTAAAATGTGTAAAATGGTAGAAATAATTAGTTTTTCCTACGACAGACTGAAAATAACAGTATTAACTTCATTTCACATTGTTTTTACTCAGTAGCTAAATGGAGAACGGGATAGCGTTTGGAGCGAACTGTGCTGGGTTCGAGTCCCGGAGCGAACATCAACTCTAGGATGTAGGTACATCCAGCTAATCAGTTCCATATAGAACGAAACGCGCGTCGTGAATTCTACTGCTAGCCACTAGCCACCTTTGCTTAAAACAGTATTATATATTTCAAATGATTGGTTCTGACTCTGCAGATTGTATATAACAGTCAAATCGACATTAGTCCTAAATATTAAGCTTTAACTATTAGCTTCGTAACATATCTTAACCTTTCAGTATTATCTTTGTCAGCTTTGGTAAGTAACAATTGCAATCAAAGATCTTGGATTAGTACTGTGGTTTTACCTTACCGTCAAGGTACGACAGAAGAATTAAAACGGATCATGAAGACTTACATGATAAATCGTTTATTTCATAAATTTTTCTCTTAAAAAGACGGCAAATAATTGTAACCTAAAATTACTGGTGACTCACGAGATCACTGAATGTTAGTATGGACTACTTAGGTAGTTCTTAGCCATATGGTTATGGTACGTATGGTAACCGCGATAAGCGGTTGATACTGGATAACTTAATTCAAAATCTTTCACAATATTGCGAACGCATTCTTCTTTTTTTATCTTACTGAAGATTTTTAATTCCAATATTCCTCCGTACACACTTATACATTATGTCTTTTCGTACCATCGATATTCACAAGGTTCAGTCATTCTCATTATTGTTTTCATTGGATTATTTCGATTTCTTTGTTACTCGTCATTTCAAATCCATCTCATTGTATTAATCTTGTAAGGCAATTCGAATTGACATATTTATGTGATAAGCTTTACGTTAAGCATAACTGAGTGTCTGTCCATTACTACTGATATATATATATAAATTACTATACCTTGAATTCCGGTTTCGTGTTATTTAGTATTCATTATCAAGGTGAATATAACCGTATATCCTGTCATTTGGGTCACTATTCACTCTTTAGTTTATTTCTAATAAAATATTGCGCGAGACTACAATTTATGGACGAATCAATCACGTATAAGATAACAGGTCTCGGATTTTAGCGCGAAATTCACTTATCCATTTAGATAAATATAGTTTTGACATTATAGCTGATGTTAGTTCATGATGAAAATCTTAATCATCAACTGTAAATTAGAATTAGAATTCCTCACACAAGTTTATAACCCTCATTTAGTTCTGGTTATTAAGTGGACATTTATATGGTTTGAATTATTCTTTTTTTGTTAGCAGAGCTGAAAATTGAAGAACTACTACAACCATCATTAAAAAGGTACAAATATTGATAAATAGTTGTCTATGCAAGATACTCAACATCCATTGGCCGGATACCATCAGCAACAACCTACTGTGCGAGAGAACAAACCAGCTTCCAGGTAAAGACGAAATTAGGAAAAGACTATGGAAATGGATAGGACATACATTACACAAATCATCAAACTGCATCACGAGACAAGACCTAACTAGGAATCCTGAAGGGAAGCGAAAAAGAGGAAGGCCAAAGAACACATTGTGTCGGATAATAGAAACAGATATGGAAAGGATAAATAACACTAGAAAGAACTGGAAAGGAATGCTTGGGACAGTGTTGGATGGTGAGTGGCCCATGCTCCTCCACGAGGAGTAACAAACATGAGTAAGTAATTAAGTGGAGACTCTCAAGGTTAATCTAGAGTCTTCCATAAATTATAATCTCACCAAATATTCTTATTGTAAAACATATATATTGTTTGTTAGGTCTTTTAAATACATAATTTCACCTTATCAACTGACGGATTAAATAAAAACACATGAATGAATAGATAAGGAACTATTTGCTTAATTGTTATATCATATTTTATTCCAATGAAATATGATCATACTTACAAGTGGGGTTTTTGTGTTTCTGTATACGATTTATATTCAATCATGTTTTATCAAGTGAATTGATCTGGTTTCATATTACAAAAAAAAAGTGTTTGAATTCAGTAGACATTTTAGAGAATTTTCAAATAAGCCATATTTAATAGATCATTTATTTACTTTTGATTCCAATTCTCTTGATGGAGTCTATGTTCTCTGAGCTAGATGGTTTAGTCGTGGAGCTTTCATCCTTCTTCTGAACGACATCATCGGCAAATATTTCAGATGGACTTCTAACTAACGCTTGTGCGGATGATGTTTAGAAGAACGATGAAAACTCCACAACTATACCATCTAGCCCAGTGAAGAGAACCCCATCAAAATCATCCACTTGAGCTACAAATCTTCTCCACCATCTCAAAGTCATATAACGTTCCAATTATCTTCAAGAATAATTGAAAGATTTATCAAGATCTGGTGTATATTTGTTTCTAGTTTTCTAGCCATTTACTTTATTCTAAAGATTCCAATTATGAAAATTAGAATAAGATATATAAGTGAATAATATTGTTTTCAATTAGATCATCATAATGTATTTACATATATGCCCATAGTCATCACTAAATGATTAATCAATTGTAAATATCTTGGTTCTAAGGAGGATCGGTCACACTCCATATAGCTCACTGATAACGTCTTTGATTGTGAAGCTAATGTGTATCAGTTTCTGAGTAATTACAGGTACACCTTATTGATAAGTATCAAACAGCATTAAACTAAAGTTAAGCATCGAATATTGAAAATTTATAGCCTAATATCATCTGATGATAATGACAACGATGATGATTTAGGATTCTAATTAATCATCGAAGGATAAAGTTTAATTCAAAATGTAACTGAAAATAATCACCACACGTATAGAATGTAAGTCAAACTTAGAAAGGTGGGAAACGTTTATTGTTCATCACTATTTGATTAATTACACAATTATTTTCTTATTATTATGTCTTTTTAACATTTTGTTGTAATTAAATTCACTTGGTTTAGTTCAGTTGAATAATCCTATTGATGTTCAGGACTGTAATTGATCAGTCTCTTATTGGCATATGTGCATATTGTGCGTATGCCTCGATATTGCCTTAAGTCACAAGCATTATGTGCAAAGATGGATAGTGGCTAGTAGTGGAATCCTTGACATGCGTTTCGTTCTCTTTGGGACTCGTCAGATAGATACACCTGCATCCGAAAGTTGATGTCCACTCCGGGACTCGAACTTAGTACCATTCGTTTCAAATGCCATCGTGTTATCTACTTAGGTATTGAGTCGTGATAGTCACTTGCTTGTGCCACTGGGTGATTAATTGTTATTTTTATGTCATTTATCCAAATCTGACCTACTTTTTATGTTGAACTATTGACTATTGAACTTATTTTGATACAATTAATATCAGGTTGTAGAGATTATTCAGTTTTGTTTAATTCATGAACCAAATTAAGTTAGATAACGATTGGAAAACCTAGAGATAATGAATAGCTGTTTTATTCTAGTTTGAGATTCCTAGGCAATGAGCATCCATAATCTCGTCAAAATTACCTGGTATCAAACTCAGGGCTTTTAGTCTCCCACTTGTACGCTAAATCTCTAGAACTACTGAGTCGGGATCTAATAGTGTTCGAGTCTAACTTTAATCAACTTCCTATATTTGCTTTTATTCTGTATACTCCTTCATAATATCTTATTACTTGATAAAACTATGATGAATCAGCTCAGGACTAGACGAACATGACATTGACATTGTTTTCTACTTAGTGATTATTCAGTACAAATATCTCAGTACTGTAGAAATCTAGTGAGAAAAAACGGATCAGTATTAACTTCTCAGATTACAAAACTGGATGAACCAGGAATAAACTCTTACAAGAATCATCAATTCTCTCAAGATTGCAGGTACACCTTGCTCACAAGTGTTAACTGACAAAAAACCTAGTTCTTGAGTTTTCTGTCGACTATATTCAATTATCTAAAATCAAACCGAAAAGCATCTGACATCCAATCCCATCGGCTAGTGTCTATATTAGAACATGATTGTGAAAGAGTTCAATCAGCATTAAGCACTAGACAAACAAGACGTTAGTTATCACTCTGAAATAATTCAGTGTAACGTAAAGAGTACTTTTCAAACAGAACTATATGATAATTTTTTTTAAATTCGTCGGTTAGTTAACATTAACGTTTGAAGAATTGACACTTATATTTACCTGTGTAGATAACGCGATTGCGTTTGAAGCGAACGGTACTGAGTTCGAGTCCCAGAGTGAACATCAACTTTGGGATGCAGGTGCATCAAGCTGACGAGTCAAAAACAGGACGAAACGCGCGTCCTAGATTCCACTGCTAGCCACTATCGATCTTTGCTTATAATGCTTGTAAATTAAGGCAATATCGAGGCATACGCACAGTATGCACATATGCCAACAAGAGACTGATCAATTTCAGTCCTAAAACATCAATGGGAAGATTCAAGTAAAACAATACCAAGTGAATTATATTTACCTTTGCTTATAACTACCGTTATTTGAAAAGAGGATTTTATCATGAACTGAAACAAACAGAAAAGCATTATAAACCGGTATCTTCTTTTTTCTTCTTCACTTTTTGACAGTATGAACAATGTGTGATGTCGGTTACTATGATAAGCCCACATAGCTTGTTCTAGCTTCCGAACAAGTCAATTTATTCATTCATTTTGATTCATATATTGATATTGTCACTTATTCGCTTATCAATTGTGACTGTTTTTTCTCAAGTAAGAGTATGTGTGTGCATTTCTTATCTAACTCATCACATGTCTGTAACTTATTTTTGTTTGACTATGAATATCGTTTCACGCTTGGTTAAATCGAATTTGCTTACACATCTTCTCCACTGAGCATTATTTCCCTTCATTCTGTTCTCTTCGTTTTGTTTTTTCCATCGTTTGTTTGGATCAACGATTGTATGAAATATATGTATTCTCGTATTTGACTTATTTAATTCACAAGTTGAAATCATGAGTCAATTGAAGCTAGACCACCATGGTAAACCTGGAAGCACTGGACGGCCGTCTTGTCCTGTTACGGGACTCCTCAGCAGTGTGCATCCACGATCCCGCGGGATTCGAACCCGGAACCTACTGGTTTCGCACGCGAGCACTTAATCACTAGACCACTGAGCCGGCATCCAACGGTGTTAATGTCTAACTTCAACCAATCTACGAAGTCGCGCCACCGTACACAACTGTCTTCAGTGAGCTGTTATTCACTAACTCAAGTTAAGTGGATAATTATATTGCTAGGATTGGCGACATGTGCATTTCAATAACAATCAACATAAGATGCAGATAGAGACTGATCTATGGGCCATAAAAACAATACAATACAGATCTATCGATATCTCGTCGTTCACATTCAAAAAAATTCAGATCAATTTCGATAAACCTCCATTTTTGTCCCATATTCAATATGATTTAGCATCTCAAATCATATTCTTTTTAGAAGAAAATAGGATAATCATTTATTCTAAAACTATTCACCGAAATAACTCCGCCTGCCGGCCCAAAAAACGGATAAAGAACGAAGGTTGGGCATGGGGTTAGCGACCCTATCACTCCCAAATGTCTTAGTACAGACGGGAGTGGGAAGAAACAACTCTCCAACTCGAAATGCTCGCATATGGCCATGTGCATATAACCACTGCAAGGAAGTCCTACTCACTGCATTCTTGCACCAGAGGTGTTGTTTACGAAATTGAGAGGACGAAGAGTGAATTTCCAGTGCTTTAACCGGGTATTGGATATGGAGTATCCACCTAGGGGAGTTGGAAAACCCTCATTCCAGACCAATCGTGCACATGGGCTTCAGGATTCTAAGCAAGCAAATGGCGTATGAACCAATTATTGGTCACTGGCTACCATGGGACTGCATCTCCTGACGTTTCTCCATTGCCTTTTAGATTAAACCTTTTGGTCAAATGCTCCAGTTGTGGCCCCCTAAGAAAACCACATGCTTCAGTTTGAGTAACCGTGTAGTATCCTGACCCTTAAACAAATCGAATGATTTATGTGGCGCATATCTATTTGGTATCCCCTCGTACCAATGTTTATATGTTTAAATAAATAAATAGTAGCGACCTCATCCCGTAGTAAACTAATTCGCTTAAAAAACGCTAAATATTCATCGAAATAACAACTTGTCGGGTAGAGATAGGTACTACCTCAGTACAATCGAAGATGGTCGCTCAATTTCGTGAATTGGTTAATGTTGGACACCAACACCATTGGATACCGGTCGGCTCAGTGATCTAGTCGGTTGGGCGTTCGCGTGCGAAACTGAAGGCCATGGGTTCGAATCCCGTGAGGTAGGATCGTGAATGAGCACTACCAAGGAGGAGTCCCACAATAGAACGAGACGACCGTCCAATGCTTCCAGGTTTCTAACGATAGTCTAATATCAATCGGTTCATTAATCTCAATCAATAACTTAATAATCTCCACAACCCTTATACTAATAATTGTTTGTTTTTTCCCTGATTATTTATGATATCAATTTCAGATCTTTACATAATTATATCTTTTTCTTCTTCTTCTTCTTCCTCCTCTTCTTCTTAATGAACCATAATAATCAAGGATAAATAACAATATGAGCATTAACCTCAATCTATCATTTTCTAATTTTATTTCTTTCATAAGAATAAAACAACTAGACTTATCATTCATTATTATAATGTCAATTACATATTTATGTTAATTAAGAAAATAGAATGATAAGCATTCATACATAAATAACTAATTTATATGAACTATGAATTGAGCTAATTGGTATGTTACATTAGTTAAATAATAGTAACATAGTAAATGATTGTTACCAAAGTAAAAATTAAAAAAAAGAAGAACACAAATCGATCATTCATTTCCTTTATAGTTCACATTATCATTGATTCGATATAATTCATAAACTAATAATCATATAAAACACGTTCTCATATTGTTGTTTAACATGAATGAGAACAAATAGTACGTGATTAATCTTATATTTCATAAGGTTTAATATATAGTTAATTAATGATTTGAATTTAGACCTATATGAGATTATATATTGAAATCATGAGTCAGTTGAAGCTAGACCACCATTGAAAACCTGGAACCACTGGACGGCCGTTTCGTCCTAGTATGGGACTCCTCAGGAGTGCGCATCCACGAACCCGCCCCCCACGGGATTCGAACCCAGGATCTATCAGTTGAAGTTAGACATTAACACCGTTAGATGCCGGTCGGCTCAGTGGTCTAGTGGTTAAGCGCCCACGAGTCCTGGGTTCGAATCCCGTGGGGGTGGGTTCGTGGATGCGCACTGCTGAGGAGTCCCATACTAGGACGAAACGGCCGTCCAGTGGTTCCAGGTTTTCAATGGTGGTCTAGCTTCAACTGACTCATGATTTTAACCTGTGAAATTTCCTAAAATCTCCACAAAACTCGTTCTGAAGTTATATATATATAATTAGTATTAGAAGAGGTTTTATGGAGAATGTAATAATTTTAATAGTTGAGATTATGAATTAATTGAACCTAAACCATCATGGAAAACCTGGAAGAACTGAAAAGTTGTTTCATCCTATTGTGGTACTCCTCTTTGACAGTGAGCATCCACGATTCCGCCGCCCCCCGGCAAGATTCAAACTCAGGGCCTATCGGTCTCACGTGTGAACACTTAACTGGCCGGCACTCAATGATATTAATGTCTAACTTCAACTAATCTATAAAATTGAGCGACATATCTACACTGCTGAGGAGTCCCATAAAATGGGGCGAAACGGCCATCCAGTGCTTCCAGGTATTCCATGATGGTCTAGCTTCAATCGACTCATCATCTCAACTATTGAAATTAGACATAATTGTTTAATCTGATGATCAATATTGTAAACCATGAAGTATATGATAGTTAATTTATCTTAGTATGAGACTTATTACAAGTGAATATTCATCATCTTACTAGGTAACAAACTTATAATCTTCAATTATTGATTATTTGTGTTATATCCGAACGAAGATTAAATCACGAGTAACTCCTGAGACATATTAATTGACTAATACTGTCTATATATTCCTATGATATGACTATTCAATAATTAGATTATGTATATTTATATTCCTCTTATTATAAGCTTCATTTTGACCTATAATTTATTATTGTACGATTTACTGTTCTTAAGCTATGTTCAGTTTATTGACTACTGCCTCCCACGTTCACAGTCACTTTTTGGCTTTATTGTGTACACATGTTATTTCCTATTTTATGGTGTGTTATGGTCTGTTTGGTTGATATATAAACCCAGTATGTCTGGAATAAATGATTCGATTCGCATAGTGGAAGCTGGTATTGGTGTCCTGGACTCAAGTGGACGGGCTAGGCGGCTGCTCATACCGGTCGAACGTCATTGGTTTGGCACAGTGCTAAGACTGTATAAGTCGTATTTTTATTGGTGGATAAATGACGTGATAAAAGCCGAACATAAAGTCATAACAATTTGGTCTAGTGATATTGTAGATAAGGAGTGCTTAGGTGCTCATGCTACAATAAAATTGCTATTCATTGCTTATTATCATGATCAGTTCTTGAAGCAAACTATGTTTAATGATAATTTCGACAATATTCTATCATAAAGTAAATTATATAGATGTAATAAATCGATACTTCCTAGGCTATGTCTTATCTATCTATACTGTCTATACATATAAACCATCGACTATCACTTCTTTTTTTTTCTTTCTATAACAACTATAACACTTTTGCAAGGTTTAGTTCCATCCAGGTCGATTTCATGTCCTATTTCTTAGTTAGTCAGTCAATCAATCTAGTTACAATGTATTTCTACTATGAATGATGATGTTTTCTTCTCTAAATCTCTTTTATTTTAATGATTAAGATGTTGACAAATATAATTTTCTTTCTTTTAATTATCTTCTATACACTCAACATTCAACTATGATGAAACTGTTCGTTTGTATTTGAAAGAAATAATTGACAAAACTATTAAGTAGTATGAAAAGAATTCATGAAGATGAAAAGCAGAGTATTAATTAAGCATAATACATACAGAAAACATACACTGTAAATAGTTTTTTTGCAGAAACTGAAGTAATTTATAACAGATAACTTTAAAATCATGAACCGATTGATGTTAGACCACCATGAAAAACCTGGAAGCATTGGACAGCCGTTTCGTCCTATTATGGGACTCCTCGGCAGTGTATATCCACGATCCCGCTCGTGGGACTCAAACCCAGGGATGAAGTTAGATATTAACATCGTTGGACGCCGGTCGGCTCAGTGGTCTAATGGTTAAGCGCTTGCTCGAGAGACTAATAAGTTCTGGGTTCGAATTTTGTGGGGGGCGGGATCATGGTTGTGCACTGACAAGGAGGAGTTCCATACTAGGACAAAAAGGTTGTCTAGTGCTTCCAAGTTTTCCATAGTGGTCTAGCTTTAATTGACACATCAATTCAACTATTAAATTACTATAATATTCACAAAACCCCTTTTTGATCATAGTGATATATTATAACTTAGTTTTAGAACTTCATTTTTCTGGTATTGTTTTCTACTTTATACCAACCAGTATGTTAATTAATGATCAGAATCAGTCATCTAGTTAATCACTGTAGTGTATAAGTTCAGTTTATTATTAAACAATCACGATGGTGATTATGGTGTATTTAAACATTCAACATCAACAACCAAAAAAATATGATAAATCACCTATTTTTTTCATTGAATTATTTTGAATACACCTTCAATTGATTCAATGATTTATTATATAAAAGTGATTTATAATGACAAATCATTACAATAGTAAATAAGGCATTCTATTATACATTATGAATGATTTATAAAATGTCATTACATAACTTGGGAACTATTTGAGCCAAATGTTAATATGAAGATAAAGTAATATGTCACTGATTGAAATCATGAGTCAATTGAAGCTAGACCACTATGAAAAACTTGGAAGCGCTGGATGGCCGTTTCGTCCTAGTATGGAATTCCTCAGCATGGTGGTCTAGCTTCAATTGACTCATGATTTCAATCAGTGAAATTTCTAAAACCTCCACAAAATCCCTTCTGATAAAGTAATATGTAATAATATATTTTTGGTTATAAATTGAGTTTAGTTTTGTAGCAAATCTTTTTTGAGTGTTTATTAAATTGAAGAACGAAATTTACTTGATGTTTGTCATATTATTTGTATCTTCCCATTGTTATTTAGGACTGAGGTTGATCAGTCTCATGTTGATATATGTGCATTGTGTCGATATAGCTTTAAGTCACGAGCATTATATGAAAAGATGAATAGTAGTTAGTAGTGGGACGCGAGTTTCGTCCTATTTGGGACTCGTCAGCTAGATGTACCTGCATGCATGAAAAATTTCACTTTTGCATGAAGTAATAGATTATATCGTTTAGCAATCAAACCATGTAATGAAGAAAATGTAATATAATTAAAAGCATCCTTCTGAGCTTAAAAGCTCCATAGTCTGACAGACTTTGTTAAATACACTATTATTATATTTCGGGATCACAAATATGATCCCTATGTTGCAAAACGATTACCGTAGTATTGAGATTCTTTGGAATGATCATCAATCATTTAATTAAAAGTAAACTGAGATTGTTTAATGCAATATTTTATTTTGATTCAATGTACCATGTAATATTTCAACAATTATTTGATTCAAACAATTATCTATACAAGATACTTAATGCCCATTGACTGGATATCATCAGCAACAACCTACTATGGAAAAGAATAAACCAATTTTCAGTTGAAGAGGAAGTTACGAGAAAACGGAAAAGGTGGATAGGACACATGCTATGGAAATCATCAAACTGAATGACAAGGCAATCCATAAATTAGAATCCTGAATGTAAAAGGAAAAAAGAGCGACGAAGAAACACACTAAGTTACGAGTTGGAAGCAGACATCAAAAGAGTGATTAGCAACTGAAAACAACTGGAAAGGATTGTCCAAGACAGAGTTCGATGAAGAATCCTTATAGGCGGCGTTTGCTCCTCCACAAGAAGTAACAGGAGTAAGTAACTAAGTAGTATTTCAATGTTTTTTAATTGAAACTATTTCTGCTGAAAAACTGTCCATTTTATCATTACGTTTATGCTTCAACACTAAAACACTGTCAGTACAAGTAATCGATGAAGATTATCATTTTAGATAGTTAGAATATCATTTTCAATGGAATATTTTCAAATAATATTAATTTCATTGTTTGTGTTACAGATATACTGTGTTTGAAAAGTTAGAAAACACTGTACAGCTGTTTTTTCCTAGCATTAAACCTTTCACTATTGCACGCCCATGACTCGATCAAGTATCGAATCTATCGCCTTTTAGCCCTAAATGCCCTGGTACGGCTGAGAATGAGGAGAGTCAGCTCTCCCTCTCCAAATGTTCTCAACTGGCCACGCGTATATGGCCTCTGCTAGGGAAGTCCTACTCACTGCCTTCTCGTGGCAGGGGTGTTGTCTACGAAATCGAAAGGACGGATAGCGAATGTCCGGCACTGTAACAGGGTTAGTGGACACCGAGACTACACCTAGGGGAGTTGGAAAACCCTCATTCCAAATTAATAGTGCACATGGTCTCCAGTATCCTGAAAGAACAAATGGCATATAAACTAATTACTGGTCACCGACTACCATGGGACTGCATCTCCTTACGTTTCTCCACTGCTTTGTGGATTAAACCTTAGGGTCGATGGCTGGGGGTGTGGCCCTCTAAGAAAACCAGTTGCTTCGTTTTGGGCACCCGTGTAGTATCCTTACCCTCCCACAAATCGAATGACTTATATGGTTTATATCCATTTGATGCCTCTTTGTACCAATGTTTATATGTTTAAATAAATAAAATAATAAATGTCCTCGTGGTCAATGTTTAAGTACCAGACCATTCGATTATCATTACATAGTTAACATTTTTTTTATATTTTAGCCAATTGTCGTTTAACTTCCATCAGTCCGTAATGTATGACCATAAAATGTAATAAGCCTCTACAATTGTCTACACCAAAAAAAAACAACTTCTATGGGATAATGTTCCCTATTAACTAATTGATGGACGTTTCAATCATTTTCTCTTTGCTTGTATTAATTCAGTTCATTTGCTTTACTTATGGAGTGTATACTGCATGGAACCTAAATGAACATCGTTTCAAAATAATGTATGTTCTTCATTCCTTACTAACAGATCAAATATTAAAAGAAACCTAAAACAGTGCTTACTATGCAACGTACAATGGAATGACATTATAATATAACAATAGCAACAACCCACCACCACCACCATCATCATCATCATTGCCCCCCAGTCATGCAATGAATTTCCTGTTCATGAAACTGTTTGTTTACTTTACTGAAATATTAATTTACATAATTCAATTATAATACAAAACGATTAGTATATTTGTTTCACGTATATTGGTTATGGTACTCATTGTATTGTCATTTTTCATCATATAAACGCATGATTATTATCATAAATATCTCTTATTTCATTACAGTAATACAATTTAATGTTATGCAATCAACTGATAATCAGGAAATTAAACGAAATAGAAACTAAATATGAGTAAAATGAAACTTTACGAAAATTAATATCAAGGAGGTTACAACATATAAAGATCCATAAATGACTTCTAGATATTATGGTAACTTGTGCCCTGTGTCCTTTCAATATATAAAGTAATGAAACCGTCAATTTGACAGCAGTAATTTATCAACCAGATCAATCACGCATAAACCAAGTACGAACAGTGTAAAGTCCTTATCGGTTCTGCTTCCTACCTAGACTCACCTATTAACTCCAGAACATCAATCTCAGCCTCTACGATGTGAATCATGTATTTCAAAACATACTGGATTTATATACAAACCAAACAGACGACATCACACCATAGAATAGAAAATACACATTTGTACAAGATTTAGTCAAATGTGGTTGTGAATGTAGGAGGTAGTAATTGATAGACAGGGCATAACTCAAGAATCGTAAATCGTATAATAATAGTTCATAGATCAAAATGAAGCTTGTGATAAGAGGAATATGAATATTTTAGTTAATTAACTATTGTACGATAAAAATATAGTCCAGAAATAGATCCTAACGGTTACCATCCACCATTCTCATCAGTATATAACAGATATACAGAATATATATTCAAGTACAAACAATTACATGACATTAACTAATGTTTACGGTGTATGTATAAGGTATATTATTATACATTTGTTGTTTATACCAATAATTCATCACTCTAATATAAAACAGGAATAAATTACTATTACTACTATCTTTCATACTGTTGTATTTATATAGATTATCTTGAATAAATGTTGTAAAAGCCAACAGCTAACACCAGAAATATTAGGATCAGATCATACTTTTTATATGACGTTAATGTTGTATATTCAGTTATCCCTGTGTATATTTTAGTTTGTTTAAAACAAGACAAAATAAATGGACGTTTAATGTTTTTCTCTTTTTTGTTAGTACTTTATTAAATCATTTTAGTATGTAACTCAAACTGTCTGCTTCTACCTGACTGACAATGAAGTACACTGACAGATAATTACTCATTATCAGTATGGGGTTGTGGAGATTATTAAGTTATTGATTGAGATTAATGAACCGATTGATATTAGACTATCGTTAGAAACCTGGAAGCATTGGATGGCCGTTTCGTTCTATTGTGGGACTCTTCCTTGGTAGTGCTCATTCACGATCCTACCTCGTGAGATTCGAACCCACAGCCTTCAGTTTCGCACGCGAACGCTCAAACTACTAGATCACTGGGACGGCCGGCATTCAATGGTGTTAGTGTCTAACATTAACCAATCTACGAAATTGAGCGACCATCTTCGATTGTACTGAGGTAGATAACTTGTCTCTATCCGTATAGTGCTTCCAGTGCTTCATAACAGACTCGATTAACTCATGAATTCAATGATTAAATTACTACAATCTCCATAAAACCCTTTCTAATCCTAATACATTTATTAAATCATTTAATATAATTAATATCCTGATAATAATTCAATAATAATAATAATTCGTGACTTAAAGTAATTTAAGTGTGAATGTGTATCAGTATAAACGCATGGTGATTTAAAGTTGACTAATAACAGTTTTAAATAATAAAACTTCTACAATCAAATTATACTATGATACTGAATTTTGTAACTATTCAACACAGTCAATCTAACAGAGTAAAAAATAACTTGGTATAAGAAGGTACCAAATAGATATACGCCACATAATTCATTCGATTTGTGTGAGAGCTAGGATACTGCTCGAGTACTCAAACTTAAGCAGGTGGTTTTCTTAGGAAGTCACACCCGGAGCATTTGACCTAAAGGTCTCATCCACAAGGTAGTGGAGCAACGTCAGGAGATGCGCCGGACATTCGGTTTTCGTCCTCTCAATTTCGTAAACAACACCCCCGCCGCGAGAAGGCAGTGAGAAGGACTTCTTTGACAGTGGTTTTATGCACGAGGCCATGTGAGAGCATTTCGAGAGAAAGAGAGAGAGAGAGTTGGCTGTCCGCACTCTCAGCCGTGCCAGGGCATTTGGGGGCTCTTCAAAAGGTATATATGATTTTTTAATTAGTCTGTTTGCTTTTATTAAACAGTTCTTCTTTCAATATTTGAAATCATTAGTCAACTGAAACTAGACCACTATGGAAAACCTGGAAACAGTGGACAGCACTGATTCGAATCCAGCGAGGCGGGATCGTGGATGCGCAATGCTGAGGAGTCCCGTAGTAGGACGAAACGGCCGTCCAGTGCTTCCAGATTTTCCATGGTGATCTAGCTTCAATTGACTCATGATTTCAACTATTGAAATTACTAACATCACCACAAAACCCATTCTGAATATTTGATTATAGTTACTGTAAGAGTTTTCATACAATTGAATTTATCACCTCTTTATGCAAATAAGCTTCTCTTCTATAATTGGGAAATCAGATTTCCACAAAAAAAAATAAAAGAAAATACAGTTTTATTGATTAGTATCCATGTGATTTTATATAAGTACAAAACTGTCAAAATCATTATGTAAAGGAAATAAGGCTTCTTTTTTTTCATAAATAAGACATATTTATAGAATTTTTGTAAAGATTCTATATTGAAACGTTTAAAATGGATTAGTTAAAATCTAATTAAAATTGATCACCATGTAATATATTTATCAATGAAGTTACCGTTGTGTGTTTTTTTTGTTATTGTTGACACATCCCACTGTGTTTACCAATTTAACTGTGTGTGGGTGGTCACACAAATACATAGGGAGGAGGAGGAGGAGGAGGAGCAATCGTGATCTCAAAATTAAGGTATGTGAACATGTACTAAAAATGGTTGCAGGAACAAATAGAATCAAGTGACCCAATAAGAGTCTAGGATAAACATCTATCATCTTCTATTGCTAAACATATAATCGAAACAGGCTATAAGATTGATCTTAACTCGGCTTTTGTAATGTTGTATAAAAGTGTAAAAGGGCATATACTAAGGTTTATTGAAGCCTTAGTCATATGAAAATTCAAACCCTTTTTGTGTATTCAAAAATGGTTTGTTCTCACCATAAATCTACCTTGGTGATTTAAAATTTGTTAGAAATGGTTAAGTTTAAAGGTGATATTTTGTAAATGAAAGAGAATATAAGTATTTTCATAAATTTCCATTAATGAATTCATAAGTTAATTAAGGCCTAGAAGATCATGGAAAACCTGGAATCACTGGATAGACGTTTTGTCTTAGGATGAGACTCTTCAGCACTGTGTAAATCCATAATGCTACCTCGCGCGATTCAAACCCAGTACATATCAATATCGCTCGCGAACGCTTAACCTCTACTACAATATCCAAAAAATACCCCCTTCTAATATTAATCGACATATGTCCGCAAGTGACTGGCTTCAAGCGGTATTTCCTGGGGTCCTAGTGAGAAGCAGTGATCAGTGATGTTCAACAGGCTCGGTTGTGAGATAGTAACTCACTGATGACAATGATGGATGTGTCGCTCAGTTCCGTGGATTAGTTGGAATTAGACATTAACACTGTTGGATTCCGGCTCAGTGGTCTAGATATTAAGTGCTGGGTTCGAATCCCGTGGGCAGGATCGTGAATGCACATTGCTGAGTAGTCCGACAACAGGACGAAATGTCCGTTCAGTCTTTCCAGGTTTTTCATAGTAGTCTAACTTTCACCGACTCATAAATTCAACTATCAAATTACTAAACTCTTCACAAAACCCACTTCTTATTTATTTCTATTTACAAAAATAAATGAATAACTATCATTGTTTTATTAGAATTTAAATGGTTTCTAAACTGATTTACATTTGTCTAAATAGTTATACAACGATACTAAATCATTACTGGTAGACTAACTAAGCACATTTTTTCATATTAGCTTCATCATTATTTAACTTGTATCCAACACACTTAGAAAGTGCTATATTGTATATTCTGTTTCTATATATAGTTCCTTAATAACAGCTAACCTGTAATCAAATATTGATTATTATTCAAATTGAGAACAAAATTAAAAATATACTACTGATTTGATGAAATGAAATGTTAGTAGTGCTATATATGAAATAAAAGAAATGTAAAAGTACTATTGTGGTATATGCTACTTATATTGATAGATATAAGCAGTATGCAACACCAATCAGATGTGGAATGTATGCTTGTAGAAAATTAAGTACTAAATTGAATGTCGTCTAATTAGACTTTATGTCGTTATTTGAATCACATTGTAACAATTATAATAATCCTTTCTACAGTAAGATAAACTATTATTGTTTTTTGTTTGAGATTATGAATCGATTGATGTTAGACCACCATTGAAAATCTGGAAGCACTAGATGACCGTTTTGTCCTATTGTGGGATTCCTCTTCAGCAGTGTGTATTCACGACCTCACTCACGGGATTCGAACCGAAAGCCTACAGTCTCGCGCATGCGAACGCTTAAACTGTAGACCATTGCGCCGGCCGGCATCTAATGGGGTTAGTATTTAACCTCAAGCAAAAAATTTAATGATCTTCACAACACTAAACTGATATTCTTTTTTGGACTGTATATATATCTCCAGTAAAATACTAAAAAATTTCTATCCTAATAGAAAAAGAAAACAAACTTATTATCTAGTATTCAATCAACTCCCATAAATTACCTTCGTCATATGATTCACCTCATTGATCATGCCTACAAAGTTCTCTTATTTCTTCTTTTTCTAAAATAAAATTTAAGTTAATTACAGTTATAGATAGATTTTTTTGCTAAATTATTTCTT